TTAATGGGGGTTTAATGGGAATTTAGGGGGTTTTATGGGGTTTGATGGGGATTTTATGGGGTTTAATGGGAATTTAGGGGGATTTATGGGGTTTAATGGGGGTTTAATGGGGGAATTAATGGGGCAATTAATGGGGGTTTAATGGGAATTTAGGGGGATTTATGGGGTTTAATGGGGATTTATGGGGGTTTCATTGGGATTTATGGGGGTTTAGGGGGGTTTATGGGGATTTCATTGGGATTTATGGGAATTTCATTGGGATTAATGGGGGTTTAATGGGGATTTATGGGAATTTAGGGGGGTTTATGGGGTTTAATGGGGGTTTAATGGGGTTTTAATGGGGTTTTTATGAGGTTTTTATGGGAATTTAATGGGGGTTTTATGGGGATTTAACGGGGGTTTTATGGGGTTTTCATAGGAATTTAACAGGGATTTAATGGGGCTTTTATGGGGGTTTAATGGGGGAATTAATGGGGGTTTAATGGAGATTTCATTGAGATTTAATGGGCGTTTTCATGGGGATTTAATGGGAATTTTATGGGAATTTAATGGGGGTTTTATGGGGGTTTAATGGGAATTTAATGGGGTTTTAATGGAGCTTTAATCTGTTTTTTTGAGGATTTTTTTACGATTTTTATGGGATTTTTGGGGGATTTTTATGGGATTTTTTCCAGGGTTTTTTATGGGATTTTTTGGCCAGTTTTTGACGATTTTTTAGGATTTTTACATGATTTTTTGGAGAATTTTAGGGGATTTTTTATGGGTTTTTATGGGATTTTTTTGGTGATTTTTGAACAATTTTTTAGGATTTTTACAGGATTTTTGGGAGTTATTTATGGGATTTTCCTGGATTTTTTTTAGGATTTTTTTAGGATTTTCATGGGATTTTTTCAGGATTTTTGGAGGTTTTTATGGGAGTTTTATGACATTTTTCCACATTTTTTTTCTGATATTTTGGGGATATCTTGGAATTTTCTTTATTCATTTTTGAGTATTTTTGGGGATTTTTTTAGGAATTATTTGTGGGATTTTTGTGGGATTTTTTGGGTGTTTGTGGGATTTTTTTGGCAATTTTTTTGGATGATTTTGTTGGAGATTTTTACGGGATTTTTTAGGAAGTTTTCAGGGATTTTTTGAGGATTTTTGTGGATTTTTTTGCGATTTTTTTGGGGGGATTTTTTCTGAATTTTTAATAAGATTTTTGGGGATTTATTTGGAATTTTTTAAGATTTTTTTGGGGTTTTTTTAGGATTTTTTTGCTGGATTTTTTGCAGGTATTTTTGAGGACTTTTATGGGATTTTTTTTAGGTTTTTTGGGGGATTTTTTAGGGATTTTTTTGGAGTTTTTTATGGGATTTTTCCCAGAGTTTTTATGGGATTTTTCGGTGATTTTTTTGGAATTTTTTGGTGATTTTTTTGGGAATTTTTTTAATGGATTTTTGGAGACTTTTAATTGCATTTTTCTTTTTTTTTTCCCATTTTAACCCATTTTTAACCCAATTTCCTCCATTTTTTCACTCTTCCCACCAAAACACCCCTTACAATTTCCCAAAAATCCCAAAAATCCCCATTTCCCAAAATTTCCCCCAAAAAACCCGCTGGAATTTCCCCCTTTTTTCACCCTTTTTAATCCGATTTTTCGCCGTTTTTCGACGGATTTTCGCCAAATTTTCACCGATTTTCCCCAAATTTTTTTTGGGAATCGCCCAAATTCCGGAATTTTCTCTTTTCCCAGAATCCCGAGGGGCTCCCCCACGGATTGGAGCGGCTGAGGACGGCGCTGAACATTCTGGAAAAATACGGACGCAACCTCCTGAGCCCGCGCCCGCCCCGCCACTGGAGGAGCGTCCGATTCGGCAACCCCGTCTTCAAATCCACCGTCGGAGCCATCCAGGTGGGCGTTCCCAAAAAATTCCCAACATTCCCAAAAAATTCCCAACGTTCCCAAAAAATCCCCCTTTTTTCCCAAAAAAAATCGGCGTTTTTTGGCCAAAAATTCGATTTTTTTTGGCCAAAAATGCGATTTTTTTTCCGCCAAAAATGCGATTTTTTTCCGCCCAAAATTTACATTTTTTGCTCCATAAATGCGTTGGAAAACGCCAAAAATTTTCATTGAAAAATAAAATTTTTTTCCAAAAAAATTCTGTTTTTTTCTCAAAAAAAATCAGCTTTTTTTGGCCAAAAATGCGATTTTTTACCATCCAAAATTTGCATTTTTCGCTCCATAAATGCATTGGAGAACACCAAATTTTTTCTTAGGAACATAAATTTTTTCCAAAAAAAATTCCCTTTTCTCCCTAAAAAATTCCCTTTTTTTCCTGAAAAAAATCAGAGGTTTTTGCCAAAAAATTCTATTTTTTCGGCCAAAAATTCGATTTTTTCCCACCCAAAATTTCCATTTTTCGTTCCATAAATACCTTGGAGAAGACCAAAAATTTTCATTGAAAAATAAATTTTTTTTCCAAAAAATTCTCTTTTTTCCCCAAAAAAACCCGCTTGTTTTGACCAAAAATGCGATTTTTTACCACCCAAAATTTGCATTATTTGCTCCATAAATGCATTGGAGAAGGCCAAACATTTATTTGGAAAACAGAATCTTTTCCAAAAAATTTCCCTTTTCTCCCCAAAAATTTCCCTTTTTTCCCAAAAAATTCCCTTTTTTTCCCCCAAAAAAATCGGCGTTTTTTGGCCAAAAATTCGATTTTTTTTGGCCAAAAATGCGATTTTTTTTCAACCCAAAATTTGCATTTTTCGCTCCATAAATGCCTTGGAAAACGCCAAAAAATTTTCATTGAAAAATAAATTTTTTTTCAAAAAAATTCTGTTTTTTTCTCCAAAAAAATCAGCTTGTTTTGACCAAAAATGCGATTTTTTTTACCACCCAAAATTTGCATTTTTCACTCCATAAATGCGTTGGAGAACACCAACATTTTTCTTAGGAACATGAATTTTTTTCCAAAAAAATTCCTTTTTTTTCCTCAAAAAAATTGGAGTTTTTTGACCAAAAATGATATTTTTTTGGCCAAAAATTCGACTCTTTTCCACCCAAAATTTGCATTTTTTCGCTCCATAAATCCACTGGAGAATCCCAAAAATTTTCCTATGAAAATAAAAATTCCTTTTTTTT